TCTGACATCACATCTGACATCACAACGTCTGACATCAATGTCTGACATCACAACATCTGACATCACATCTGACATCACAACGTCTGACATCACATCTGACATCACAACGTCTGACATCACATCGTCTGACATCACAACATCTGACATCACGACGTCCAAACAGTCCAGCTTTGGTGTTTGGTGTCAGTTATCAAGCTCCTCTCTTGTGGAACCAACTTCCAGTTTCTGTCCGTGAGGCTGACACTCTGTCTACTTTTAAGATTAGACTGAAGACTTTCCGTTTTGATAAATCCTATAGTTAGGATTGGTTTGGGTTTCCTGAGTTAAAGAACAGATGTTCTACATAAACTGACTGTAACATATGACTTGAAAAGTTAAACCTCAGGTGCAGACTGAAAAAAACGGTGTAAAAAAGAAAAAAAAATGCTTTATTTAACAAAAAGAAAACACTGGCATGGCAGCAAAAAGTTGTCTGCAACATGAACAGGTAACAGGGACGTAGAAGGCAACACATTGGCACAGCTCTGACACCACCGAGGACAGAGAACAGAAGGTAAAAAGGGACAAACGAGCTGGAACAAGAAACACCTGGGAGAGAAATATGACGAGCAGGTGAGTGTGGGAGGGGTTAGAAGTGGTGAGCGTGGGCGAGGCTGAAGCAGAGGCAGGAGGTGCTGAACAGGAAAAAAATRATACAGAACCGAGAGGAGGAACCAAAAACACTCCCAACAGATACACCCACCCAGCCACACTGAGGAAGTTGATCTGTTAGAACATCTGCATCTGGCTGAACTCAGATGGGAATGGTTCAAAGCAAAGGGGGTGAATACTTATCACACAATATTTTTCAGTTTTATACATTTAGAATTATTTCATCAAAGTTTCTTCTATAATTTAAAGTGTTTTTTCTAAAACAATTTCAGGTTGTAAGAAAAAAAAGAACACCAGGGGAGTGAAAACTTTTTCTACTCACAAGTCTCCAGACAGGTGAGTCTTACCTCCACTGAGATCTGGGGTTTGTCACTCAGTTTTTTAGGTCTCCTTTGGGAGTTCAGATCTTCACCAAGAGCTAAATAAATCCTGTAAAATCAAAATAATCTGCATTTTTCTCTTCATTCAACAGGTTTTCCTAGAAGTCCAGATAACAAAACTGAAAATAATCTTCCTAAATGTAACAGAATTACAGACCCACTCCAGAAGCTCACCTGGACTCAGGGTGTTGAGCATCTTGGTCTCCACTGAACTGACGCTGGATGGCAGCCAGCCTGGTTTCACACTCCATCAGCTGGGTCTGGGCCAGGCGGTGAGAATCCTCCGGGCTCAGAGTATCACATAGACCCTTCAGGGCCTGAAGGTGCTGCTCAGCCTCAGTAAAGTCTGCTGAGAAGCAGGCCTGGTCCACAGTACCAGAAGGAAACAAGCAATGACAGAAACCATTGAACTTTTTAATACTTCATGTCCTCCTAAAGACTCCTTTTTCAAGTGAGAAGAGAAAAACTCCACAGTCCTGGAAAACCAATATTCCCCCTCCTTCAGTTCCAGAGGTTTCTCTATCAGGACAAAATTCATCTGATCTGGTCTAAAGTAAAAAAAAACACCCAACAAATTCCACCCACTCATTCATTATTAAACACAAAGTGTGTCCAGACCCTGATCTAGAAACTTGTAGAACCCCTTCAGATTCAGGTTCAGGTTCTAGACTCTGACTACAGCACCTTGATTCTTTTCTTTTTGACCGATTKGTAGTCCATCTGCTGGGTTTGGGACTATGGTTCTGTTGTAGATCAGGTGCTGTATTGGGATCATGGTCCTGTTGTAGACCATCTGCTGTGTTTGGGACCATGGTTCTGTTGGACCCAGTTTRGTCCAAACTTCAGCTGTCAGACAGATGGGCTCCACTCAGTGACTGCAAGGAGCCTAAACCTGCAGCCCTCCACCACAGTGCTGACAGTGGTCAGCCTGAGCCTTAAAACCTTAGAACTGAAAGAGAATGGACTTTGTTTTCCAGGACTGTGAAGAACTGAAAGCCTTCAAACTCAAACATTTCCTATTGAACCAGCATTGCACCTGAAAAGACCCAACAAACACAARCTGCCCCAACAGCCAGCAGAACCACAGAAATAAAAGAATGCTGTTTTCTTTTTTCTTCTTGAACATTATGTGTACTTTGTTTTTGACCATTTAATTGATGAGATTTTTATATTCTTTTGATGTTATCAGTGATCATGTGTTTGTTTTTTTCTGAACAAGATTTAGCTACTCTGATAGCTAATATCTGAAAATATCTGTACAACTGGAGCACACCCCTGCAAAAACAGCATTCTAAAACAACTGAATAAAGTCCAACTGAAGTCACCTCAGATTTTTGAAGAAGAGTTTAAGCAGATACGCTAAGCTGCATATCCATCCTTTGAAGCACACCAACAGAGTATAGCTGCAGTTATTTCACTACCTGTTCCTGTTTGTTTAAGCAGGAGGCTAAGTGCATCTCACACCGCAGGGCAGCTGAATTAAAACCTTTCCTTGTTACTTCAAAGCGTAACTGATGCAAAAAGCCTGAGATTTCAGCTCTCACAGCCTGAGGGACGATATAAAAATCAATTCAATTCAACACAGAACACGGCACAACCTGCAGTAATATGCAGTTCAAGGTGAATGCAATCACATGGATTCACATGGTTGTGGCTGAACACTTGTGGCTTTTAGCTTCTTTGCTCATTTTAGCTTTATCCACTAGTTCAATCGCTTTAACATTTAGTTATGGTTTTTCTCATTTTAGCATTACGGCTACAGAAAATTCACAGCAGCAGAACTGGTCTCCTACCTCCCACTGTGTCCTGACAGACTGGGTGAAGGAGTCCATGTCTTGGAGCTGTGATGGAGTACAAAAAGCCTCCATGCCCTTCGCTGCTCTCAGGAACTCCTCAAGCAGTTCTGGGTCCAGAGTCCTCAGAGTCTCCTAAGGACAGACATAAATTTCATGATAATCAGTTTATCAAATAATTAGTAATAATTAATAATAGTCATAAATAATTAACCCCAAAATGACATTTTGTTTATCTGTTACTGGTTATAAATCCCATTCAGACACAAGAGCTAGTTGCATTTACCTCTTTAACGGCTGCTTGCTCAGCTGACAAACATTTGTCTTTAAAGACAGAGATGGCCTCCAGGATGTGTGCCTGCAGGCAGTGCTTGGCTTCCTCAAAGCCGTTCATAGCCAGAGCCCGAGCCTTGATGTAGGCCTCTGTGTAGGCCTGAGGAGGAGCCTGAGCCAAAGCAGGAGATCTGATGAGGTCATCTAGGGATTCAGCTTGGATCTGAGGGACCTGAAATACAGGACTGCTTTGTTGCTGATGAGGTTTGTGATGCAATTCAGATGGGATCTGAAGGTTTGATGGTGGAAGTGGTTGAGTCTGAAGTCTAGTCTGTGGTGGGGACTGAGTCTTGTATTGTGTAGGTGTTTGGGGTAGTGCCTCAGGTTTGGGCTGAGACATGGATGGGCCCTTTGGTTGAGGGAAKGAGTCAGATTTATGTTGAATTGGTGATTGAACCACAGGTTTTGTTGGGGTTTCGCTCTGAATTTTGGACTTTGGAGGTGATTGGRGTTTGGGTAAGGATGATAACTGAGTCTGTGGTAACTGTGCCTCAGGTTTGGGTTGAGTCATTGATTGGACCTTAGGTTGTATTGTTAAGTCAATATTATGCTGAATAAGTGACTGAACCACAGGTTGTGTTGGGGTTTCAATCTGCAACTTGGACAGCAATGACGATTCATCTTCAAATTTGGCTGGGGTCAGAACCAGGGACTCATTTTGGGCCTGGGTAGGCATCATTACCAGGGGCTCACTTGTTACCTGAGATTGTGGTGACTCACCCGAGGATTTAGCAGGTAGTTGAACCAAAGGTTCTGATTTACATGAAGGCTGAATATCTGCTTGTTTTTGCTTACCAAGTTCGGTTAAAGATTTGACCACTGTCACTGTACTTGATGGAACAGGTTTAGGTAGCATGGATTGGGGTTTTGGTTCTGATTCAGACTTGGACTGGATTGTTAATGGTACCTTTGGTTGGACTGTTAACTCAAACCCTGCTCTGACCAGAGGATTGGATAGTGGAGATGATGAACTGTTTTCCTCCATCAGAGGTTGCAGGAGTTGGGAGAGTTTGGGCTCTGAAGAGGGCTTGATATAAAGCTCAGCTTGCAGTCCTGTCTGAATCTGGATACCAGTTTGGGATTGGGCCTGCAAAGTTTGAAGTGGGCCCTGTAAAGGTAGCTGACACTGGACCTGGTGTGGTGGTTGTGATTGAGAAGTTGTTTGAGTTTGGATCTGAGTTGTATGCTGAACTGTTAAATACTGCTGAGTCTGAGGATGGTGATAAGGCTGGGACTGAATGTGTGGCATGGCTGGAACCCAATTCTGCTGGTGAACATGACCTTGTTCTGTTTGGACTGGATGAAATGGTTGGTGGGGTTTGAGTTGGACAGGACTCTGGAGGTTAATTTGAGGTTGGGAGGGAGACCATGTCTGAGTATGTGCCTGGAGATGGATTTGAGGCTGAGTATAAGACATGTGGGAAAACCTATGGGGAGTGACCTGAGGCCCTTGCTGGGGCCACTGTGGCACATCCGGAGTTGCTCGGAAGGCCTTAGACATGGTACCTTGCACTTGAGGGTATAACTGTGAAACAGGATGTCTCTGTTGGACAATGGCCTGACTTTGTGACTCCTGTTTTTCTGCATAATGCTGAGATAAGAACTGGGAGTAGCCCTGGTGATAAAGTTGAGGTTGAGCTGCAGTCTGAAGATGCTGAGGTGACATCAAAGATGAGGCTTGAACTGGAGTCCAGGCCTGCAGATGACCCTGGGAATGAAGACCTTGCTGCAAGATTGGAGGTTGAGAACGAGTTGTAGGGTCAGGAACTGGATGGTCCTGATGAGGGCCTGTAGGAAGACCATGACGCAGAATTGGAGGATGAGAAAGAGTCATAAAGTCAGGAACTGGATAGTCCTGACGAGGGCTTGTAGGAAGACCGTGCTGTAGGATTGGAGGTTGAGAACAAGTTTTAGGGTCAGGAACTGGATGGTCCTGACGAGGGCCTGTAGGAAGACCATGATGCAGAATTGGAGGTTGAGAAAGAGTCATAGAGTCAGGAACTGGAAAGTTCTGACGAGGGCTTGTAGGAAGACCGTGCTGTAGGATTGGAGGTTGAGAACGTGTATTAGGGTCAGGAACTGGATGGTCCTGATGAGGGCCTGTAGGAAGTCYATGGTGTAGAACTGGAGGTTGAGAATGAGTCAAAGGCTCAGGAACTGGACGGTCCTGAAGATGGACCATAGGCTGAACCTTTGTTTGATGGCRAGTTGGTGGCTGGTGGTCACTTGGCTTTGCTACTTGCTGAACATGACTTTGAACTTGGGCAATGGACTGATTATTGGTTTGAAGGTTGGTCTTGTGAACATGAGTCTGAGGAGGAACCCAAGCATCTCCTCCTGACTTTGAATGGATCTGAGGCAAGTTCTTGGACCTTACATTGATTTCAGAATGAGTTTTCAGCTCAGAACAGGTTTCATGACGATCTCTGAGCTGCGGGTGAGTTTGAGCAAAGGTTTTTGCCTGATCAATGGTCTCAGGTTGGTCATGTGTTGGTGGTTTAGGAGAAGGTGGCCTGACAGGGGCCCAAGACTGTGGATGAGTCCGAAGCTGAATGTGGGATGGCACAGGGGGCTGAATGAGACCTGGAAAAGGAGAAGAAGGACTGATCTGTGTCCATGTCTGAACTTGAGCAACAGGTGGACCAAGGGCTGGACTCTGAGGCTGTGGCAGAAGCTGAGATACTGCAGGGACAGATGTCTGGGAGAGGGCCTGTTTTTTTGTAGAGGTATGAGGCTTTGAAAGAGTTTGTTTCTGTGACTGACTTTCAATCATTCCAGTTTGTGAGAAGCTTGTTGTTGTTGTCTGTTGGCTCTCTGTAGAWGAGTGAGACACACCAGTGAGGGACACTTTGACATCAGACTGAAACTTGGACTGCATGTTGGGTTGGGACTGATTCTGGGTTTTTCTTTCTTTGTTAGACTGAGTCYCAGTCACTGTCCAGGGTTTAGTCTTGGTGTGTGAATCTGGTTTGGCCTGTCTTACAACTGGGTGTGCTTGTTGCCTTTTGAAGTCCTGAAGCTGCTTTTGTTGTTGCTGCTGCTCTTTTTCTTGCTGAYGTTGCTGTGTTTCTCTTTGTTGCTGAGCTTCTTTTTGTTGCTTTTCTTGCACTTGTTGTGTCTCCTTAGTGTGTTTTGTGTGTGATTCAGGCTGTTTCCTACCAGTTGATGATTGATGTGAGACTACCTGAGTACCAGACGCTGTTTTTAACTGTTTGGTCTGATTAGGAGCCTGAGCAGGCTCTTGTCCTATATGTGGACCTGGAGTTTTCTTGTCACCTTTTTGCAGCCAGGGTCGGTTCTTCRTGGCCTGAGCCTTTCGGCTCTGAAGCTCTTGTGAGCTCAGAGACGGTTTCTTGACACTTAGTTGCTGATGTGAAGTTTTCTCGTGGAGCTCTGTTTTCTGTTTTCCTTCTGTCTTTTCTTTAAGATTTGTAACCATCAGCTGTTCACTTTGATGGTGTTCCTGGTCTGGTTTGTGCTGCTGTGGTTCTGGTTCTTCATACAACATTTCTTGTTGTTTCTTAATTTTAACTGATTGCTGGAGCTTGGGTTGTTGCTCTTCTGTTTCAGTTGCTGTTTGCCTGGAAGGATCTTGTTGCAGGAACTGCTGTGGTATTGGGCCTTGATGTTGAGTTTTCTGTGGGTTTTGTGCAGCAGTCTCTTGGGAATCCAGACTTGGTTCCTCAGGTGAAGACCTTGTTCCAGTCACAGCTTGAGCGTAGGTATAGAGCATCGGTGGAGATGCCATTTTTTCTTCTCTGTATTCCTGAACTACTATCTTTGGCAAAAAGTTAGTGTCACTGTGATGTGGACCCAGAAAGWTCTCAGACTCCTGAGTTGGCAGCTTGGTGTCTGAGGGTCTCAGATGTTCAGGTTTGGTTTTCTCTTGAATAAAGACCTTTGAAGGAGGACCTGCCTCTGAAGGACTTCTGCTTCTTTCCCTTCGAGCTCCCAGGCTGCTGAGCATACCAATCGCTTCCTGAAATACACAATGCTCACTTTATAATGTTGCATATACTGTATATATACAGTATATATATAC